CTGCGGGGTCCGGCGGCGCCCACCCGTGGGTGCCCGTCCCGGGCGGCGGCCCCGCTGCCGCTCGCGCCGCTCCCCCGCAGGGCCCCGCGTCCCGCCCGGCGTCCCTCATTAGGGGATCACGCCACGCCGGGACGCGCGGCCGCTAATTGCCGGGCAGTGCCCGTGACGGCGCCCGTGGCCACGGCCAGCGCCGCGCGCCCCCTGCCCCGGGTGCGAGCAGGACGCGGCCGGGGTCCCCTCCGCCTGCAGCACGTCAGGCATCGCCCCCAGGGTGCCGCGGTCCCCCCTGGGCCCCCCTTCAGGGTTCAATGTCTTTCCTGGGGTGCCCAGGGAAGACTAGGGGGGGAGGCAGGACGGGCTTGGGGTCCCCTGGTCCCCACAGGGGTTGGAATTGGGGTGCTCAGCCCCCCAACAGGCACCAGCAACGTGCGACCCCACCGGACACTGTCACTGCCGCCCCCCAGCCCCCCGCTCGCACCCCCAAGGCAGTGCAGGGCCCTGGGGGTCCCCCCGGAGCCACGCGGGCAGGGGAGGGTCCCCAGGGTGGGGGTGTCCCCGGCGACTCTCGCACGTGCCCCCTGTGCCTGGCTTGCCAGGGCCCCGGGGTGCCCAGCTGGCTCCAGCCCCCATGGGACCAGCACCTCCCACTGGAGCCAAATAATTGCTCGGTGCTTTGTTGTGCAGTGTCTATGGCCCCGGGGCCTCCATTTGTGGGAACTTGCTGTGGCGAGTGCCTCCCTTTTAATTACCTCCCCTCCTCGCGCTGCTGCTTACTCACCGCCTGGCACCGGCGCGGCTCCGACCCCGGCCCGGGCCCGGCGGCTCCGCGGGGGTCCCGGCGGCGGCGCAGGGAGGTGCCGGGTTCCGTGCCGGGTGCCTGGGCGCTCACCCGGCTCCRTGCCGGGTGCCTGGGYGCTCGCCCGGTGCCCGCGGCGCGGGACCACGGCGGGTGCCCGTCCCCGGCGCGGCAGGTGGAGAGGGAGCGTGGGGGCCGGGCGCTGTCCCCGCACGGTCCCCGCTCCACGGTGACGCCTGCGAAGCTGTGACGGCTCCCGGTGTGTGGAGCGGCCCGGGCGTCCTGGCCGAGGGGTTTGTGGCAGGTGGCAATGCACCCATGGGTGGCGGGGGGTCCCCACAGCGGGTGCATCCCGGGGCTCCTGCAGCGGCTCCGCTCCCGGCTCCGCTCCCGGGACCAGTCCCGGCCTGTCTCTCCCTGCCTCAGTTTCCCCTGTGCAGGGGCGGCGCGGACACTGTGCCCGGCACGAGCTGCAGCCCCGGCGGCGGCCGGCACCGGCAGCCCGGGGGGACACACGTGGTGCCTGGCACCCGGGGAGGCGGCCGCGKGGCGCAGGGGAGAGCGCGGCTGGCCGCGGCCGCCCGGACGCTTTGGGTGTTTCTCATCCCCTCCCTGTCCCGCGTTTGGTTGCAAAAGAGCAAACTACCCGAGTTTTCACCCAGCGGAGGGAGCAGGTTCCCTGGGGAATTGGGGCCGGGATTTGGGCGAGGCGGGGGCACCTGGGGGCATCCTCAGCTTGTTGTCACACCCAGGGCCATCCCTGGTGCAGCCCCTTGTTCCAGGGCCACCCGGACCCTCAGCGCTGGGTTTTGCCCTGGGCACGAGGCTGAGGTGGCACCGTGGGGACACGGGGACACAGATGTGGGCAGCAAGGCCGGCACAGGGACACGGGCACATGAGCACATGGGAACACGGCACACAGGGACACGGGCACATGGGGACACGGGCACATGGTCACATTGGCACACGGGGACATGGTACACAGGGACATGGGCACACGGGGACACAGATGTGTGCAGTGAGGCTGGCATAAGGACATGGGCACACGGGAACACGGGGACAGTGATGTGGGCAGTGAGGCTGGCACAGGGACATGGGGACATGGGCACGCAGGGACATGGGCACACGGGGACATGGACACGCAGGGACATGGGCATGCAGGGACATGGGSACACGGGAACATGGGGACAGTGATGTGCGCAGCGAGGCTGCCACAGGGACATGGACATGCAGGGACACAGGGACATAGGGACACGGATGTGTGCAGCGAGGCTGGCATAGGAACATGGGCACGCAGGGACATGGGGACACGAGGACACGGATGTGTGCAGCGAGGCTGGCACAGGGACATGGGGACATGGACACGCAGGGACATGGGCACACAGGGACATGGGCACATGGGCACGCGGGTCTCTGCAGCGGAGCCGGGCCGGGGCCGCGGGGCCGGGGCTCCCCGGCACAGCACGGCACGGCACGGCACGGGCCGGCGCGGCGGCGCGGGCAGCCGTGGCCGCGGGCTGGCGGCGGCGGGGCCAGCTGGCCGCCGGCCAGCGCCGGGCGCGCGATAAGGCGCAGGAAACGCGCCCGAGCCCACACTCAATTAAGGCAATTACGGCAGCCGGCTGCGCTGGCAGCGCGGCGCGCCGGCCGCATCCGCAGCCTGCTCGCTCCTAATGATTTCTTCGAAGAATTAGAAAGTGGTTTCAGAGGGGCCGCCCGCCGCCCCGGCGCAGTTCAGCGAGTGGGGAACGGGGCCCTGGTGCCGTCACCGCCGCCGCGGGGGCCCTGACGTCACCGCTGGCTCCCGCGGCTCCTGCTCCCTTTGATCCCGGCTGGGAACCAAACCTGTTCCTGCGCCGCGCGCTGCGCCGCCCCYCCGCGCACCCCCTCCCCAGGCCTAAAGCATCCCGAGTTTTGGCACCGCGGGGATGGGGAAGGAAAAGAGCCGCGGGTGGCCGCGCGGCCGGCCCGTGCCAGCGGCCGCCGAGCCTGGCAGCGGGCCGGCCAGCCGGGCGCAGATAAGCGGGGAGATTACGCGGGGCTAATTAAAAGCCGGTCTGGAATTATTCAGGGCTGTCGGCACGCTCGGCAAAGGGCAGGGGAGGCTGTCGCTGTTGCAAAGGTCGAGTCCCAACAGCGAGCGGGTGCGAAAGGCGGCCTGGGGGCACGTTGTGCCCTGGCACCGCGGCGGCCRTCGCGATGATCCCGGCAGATGCGCGTGCCGGGCAGGCTGCGCCGCGGAGCCGGCACCCCTTGGCTTTCGAGGATCCTGCCGCTCCGTGAGCTGCTCCAGGGAGCGGGGCTGCCTCAGGGGTCCCCAAATCAGGCTGGGTCAGGGGTGGTGCTGCATGCACCGTATCCCTGGGATGGGCACCTGTGTGCATCCTGGCTTGGCTCCCACCAGCTCCCACCTGATGGTGCCAACCGGGATGGGGATGTGGGCATGTGGTCCTGTGTGGGGGATGGTGCTGGATGCACCGTGTCCCCGGGACGGGGCACCCTTGGGTGCATCCTGGCTCGGCTCCCACCCGCTGGTGCCGCCTGGGGACTGGGATCCGGGCGCTGGGGCTGCCYCGGGCCGGCCCTGCGGCCGCAGACGGCGCAGCCCCGCGGGCAGGGCGGGCGCAGGGGCCGGCCCCGGGTACCCGCCGAGGGCGTCCCCGCAGCAGCCTCCTGGCACGGGCGCTTGCATGCATGCTGCAGCGGTGCAGGCACGCAGGCAGTGCCAGGCCTGGCTGTATGCATGCACACGTGCGTGCATGCCTGCATGCATGCAGGCCTGGTGCCTTGCAARCTCAGTCCCACATGAGGCTGCAAACATGGGCACGCGTGGATGCGCGTGTGGTGGCTGCACCCCTGCACATGCACAAGTGGGCCCAGCGTGGGCCCAGCGTGGGAGTGCATGCACACGTGTGTGCGCATGCATGCAAGCACATGGCCTGCGTGCCCCTGTGCATGCACACGTGCCCATGCACACACACCGAGCCGGCCCCGCTCCCCTTGCAGACACCAATTTGTTTTATGACAGCGCAGGAAATTGCCCTCCGCTCGCCAGGGCCAGGAGCTGTTTGAAGTGCTCGGCCCCGGGGCCAGGAGAGGCCTCTGCCCTCCTCCTCATCCCTCTATCCCTCCAAACCTCCGCCCCTCCATGCCTCATTCCCTGCATCCCTGCATGCATCCATGTCTCATTCTGTCCGTCCCTCCACACCCTGACATGCTGCCGGGGCCTGGAGGGCTCTCCCCTCCATCCCTGCACCGCTCCATCCCTCCATCCCTCCGTCCCTCCGTCCCTCCTGGCGCTCCCCGCAAGCTGCAGCCCCCGCAGGGTCCCCGCACGGGGAGGCTGAGCCCACGCGGCCTCCGCGCCGGGCGGGACTCATTGGAGGCATTCGCCTCCCGCCTTGTAATCCATGCAAATGGCCTCTGTAATTAGCCCTAATTTCAAGGCAYGGCCTGGGGTTTGAGACGCTCCAGGAGGAGGAGCCCCCCAAAGTCCCCGCGGCTCCGTGTCTCCCCGCTGCAGCAGCGAGCGACCCTCCGGCTGCCCAAAGCTCGAGATGTGCTCGGACACCTGGGCCCTCTGCCCGGCCCTGTCTCCTCGTGTTCATCGAGTGGTGGACCCAGCACGGAGGGGGCTGCGGCCTCCCCTTCCCGTGGGATCACAGGGATGCAGCAGCCCCGGGCACTTCCCAGCCATTCCGGTATCAGACACCCCCAGGACAGGCAGCGCTGGAAGCCGCAGCCTCCTCCCTGAGCACCTGGGTCCCCCCGGGCTGGGGACTCGTCTTCCCCAGCGGCACCAGTTCCCAGAGCRCTGGGGGGACTGGGACGAGCGGCGGATCCGGCCGCCCCGGGAATGCGCGGGGCCGGAAGGCCGGGCCGCGGCGGGACGCACGTCCCCGGCGAGCGCCACGCGCAGCCCCCGGCTCTGCCCTGCTCCCCGGGGCACCGGAGCGAGCGGCAAAGCGGGAAGCGCCCGCGCTGGCGGCCCCCGGCCGCGGTGCCCGGAGCGGGCCATGCAAAGCAGCCGCCCCGCTCCCTGCCCCGGAGAGCTCCTCGCGCCCRGGGACGTCGGAGCTGGCACGGAGCTCTGAGTCACGGCACCGAGAAGGGCCCGGGCGTCCCAGAGCCGTCCGGGATCCCGGCCCGGCCGAGCTCTGCGCGCACGGGCGGCAGTGGAAGGGCACCCAGACCCCGACAAGTGCCTTGTCCGTGGGTCTGTCCTGCCCCACTCATCCGCGCGGCGCCCCGGCACTCTGTCCCCGAGCCCCAGGGATCCGTGGGGCTGGGGTCCCATGTCCCTGCTGGCTGGGGCCTTGCTGCCGCCTGGGGTGTCCGGGCCCCCCCAAGGGGGATCCTGGCTGTGGAGCAGGATATGCAGGATAATCCCCAGGGAAAGGGGCCCCTGACCCGCAGGGAACCCCAGCCCCCTGCCAGCCTGGGAATCGCGGCTGTGGGAACGGGGCCGCGTTTCCCCACGCTGASACAGGACGCTCGCTCCTGGCATTCMCACACCGGTGCTTCCCTGCTGCTGGCCGCACTGCTCCCGGGATGCACGGGGAAGGATGCCGGCGGATCGGGCGCCCCCGGATGGGTGCCCAGCTGGAGCTTCCCGCCTGTCTCAGGTACCCCCAGAGCCCTGGGTCTCCGTGGGCATCCGCTGCCTCCCACCCCAGCGGCAGCACCGACCCGCGAGGCGGCACCTGGGGGGCAGCACGACGGGCTGGGGGCCCCCTGCCTACCCGGGGGGCTCAATGGGGCGCTGGGGCCCGGCCAAGTGGGAGCAGGGCGCCCATGGGCGCAGGCGGGAGGCGGTTGCTCCTTTCTTCTTTAATTACCCCCCTGTTTTGTGGTGTCTGCTGCAAACTTCCCGTCCCCTCCCTCCGCTTTCAAGCACCCGAGACAGGGACGAGACTCCTGTCAACCRCGCCGCCGTGCTCCGGCTCTGCCTCCAAGGGTTAAAATCACCTGGGCCAGGTAGGGGTGGAGCTGGGAAGGTGGAGAGGGAGGGAAGAGCCCGGAGCGCGGCTGGGACCCAGCCATTCCTGCTCGCCCGGCCCAGTGGGTGCCCCGCCGCTGGGGAGCCGCGCGCCGGGTCCCGCGGGCTCCAGGGACGGCCGCGCCGCCCGCCACGCCGATGAGGACGGAGCCGCCGCGAGCCTGACGCCGCCAGAGCCGTAGGTACCGCGTGGCGCTGGCCTCGCCGCCCCGGCRCCGCGCGCCGCTCTGGGAGTGCTCCTGGCGCCTGGGTGCCGCTCCACGCATCCCCCCGCGCCGGCCCGAGCGGCTCCGGCCACCGCGGCACCCGCTGGCCACCAAGCGCTCCGGGGGTGGTCCCGCTTTGGATCCGGATGCTCAGCCCTTCCTTTGGCATCGGGAAGGCCAGATCCGGCCCCGCACGGCTGCTGCCGAACCCTCCGTTCGGCAGCGGTGTTGGGCGCGGGTGACCCCCGCGGTGCCGCGGACGGAGCCGCCTGTCCGGCCCCGCCGCCGAGCCGGGCTCTGCCAGCCTGGACCGTGACTCACAGACACCTCACTCGCTGCTGCCTCAGTTTCCCCGCAGGGAAGCGGCCGGCGCGTCGCGCGGCCCAGCGAGGGAGGGGGCAGCTCGACCCCCCCCGGCGCTTTGTCATCATCCCGGCAACCTTCAGCATGGAAAAACGCCCCGGGAGCCGCTCGCTCCCGGGACGGCCGGGCTGAAGGCATCCTTGGCAGGGAGGGCCGGGCCGGGCGTCCCAGCCCAGCRCTCCGGCCGCAGGATTCACCCTCTTTCCCCCCTTCCCAGGGGCCAGATGGGCTGGGATGTGGGAAGGGAGCGGAGGCGCAGGCTGCTGCGCGGGGGCCCGTGAGCTGGCGGCAGGTGCCAGGGCTGGCAAGTTGGAACCAGGAGCACAATTGGGTGTCCAGGAGCAGCGTGTGCCYGGAGCCGTCACCCACCGCTGGCACGGGGGTGACAGCCGGGACCCCTCACTGGGTCCCCTGCACCCCATGGGGCATTGGGTAGCTGGTATCGGGGGCACCCGGCATCGTCGGGGATCAGCGGGTGGGACGTGGGAGGCTCAGGACACCCCGGAGCGGAGCCGGGGACCGGCGCAGGATGGTGGATGGGAGCGACGGGTCCCTCTCTGTGCCCCGGGCACGGGGAGCAGCCGGCAGCGGCGCCGGCCCTTGCTGTCCCAGCCGGCACCTCCTGGCACAGGGACAGTCTGTGATCCTGTGGAACAGGGGGGGTGAAATCCCTCGGGACTGAGCCCAGCTCTGCTAGCAGCTCCGAAACCTTCCCGGCTCATCCCGCCCAGGACGGGGATCCCGGGGAGGGATGAGCCCCCCCGGCTCCTCCCTGCCCTCCCGCTGCGGCGTCTCCTCGCCCGGGGGGGACCCTCCGCGCGGGGGGGCTCTGGCGCCCGTCCCCACGGGGCTGCAGCCCCGGTTCCCCCTCCGGAACCGGGTTCTGGGGCCGGTCCGCGGAGCCGCGTGGGCCGCGGTGGCTCCGTGCCCGGCGGCTCCCGGCACCGCGGGCCGGGCCGGGCAGGAGGGGCCGG